CGTATTTAAAGAAACTACCTTTGTTAGTACCTGTGAGGCTCCTTGGGTACCAAGCGGGGCACCACCTAGCTGAGACATGCCGATCTCGTCATACGGCCAATCGTCCCACTGGCTGTGCTGTCTGCGGAAGCTCGGGGGGTCATCGTCGTCATCGTCAACGTCGTCCTCGTTGTCCTCGGTTGCAAGGTCCTTCCCAGCGCTATGATGTGGTGGTGTATGCACTGCGGAAGTGGCACCTGTCACCGGCTGAGAAGAGCCAGCTGGTGTCCTCAAAGAGGCTGAAGACGTGCCACCCGACCGCGCCGGGAGTGGCGGTTCCACATAAGGAGTGTCCATGTAGCTCAGCTTCTGAGCTAGCTTTCTGCAGCTCTTCTTCACCTTCTGCATAAATAGACGTTAAAGTTAGTGCATTTCCCAAACGCATATACACTAAAGAAACATTTTTGGAATGGACAAGTTTATGTTTACCTCCACAAAAGCCTCGAGAACGCCTGGCCCCTGCCCTCTAGACTCATGAAGCCGAAATGCTGCTTCGTTGGACATCCTTGACAATTGTGTCGCCTGGGTACAGAAACATGGTTGGACAGTTTTAGTACACATACTTAATACCAAAAGGATAACAAATTGTATCATTCAAGTATCTTACCACGTATCTTTGAAGCGGGACTCTCTGTAACTGTGTGTCCTCCCTAGTGGCAACATCGTACACATCTTCGATCACATCGTCCTCCGAGTCCTCGTCAATCGCCTCCTCAGTGTACGGGGGCTTGATATGTGCCCTCGTAGACCTGTGAAGCCACCGCAGGTACTCGTCGAAGGTGTGCTAGTCGTGTGGAGGACCCGCATGGACTGGCTGCTGTTCCCTGGTCTCCCACAAAAGGATGTGCGCGTTGTGTGTCACGCGCCAATCCTTGGTCTTGTACCTCTTCCTGCGGTCATACCTGCAACAAAACGATGTTAGTTGTACCACACACACCTCTGAATTGTAGCTTTGTTATTAATCGATAACGCACCCGTGCAATCCTTGGTTGGTGGAGCAAAGCGGTGGTGGGTAGCCTGTTATTCTTCCAAACTATCTGCAAACCCTGATGGGCAAGTGAATCTCAACCACGTGGAAGAAAATAAGAGGGACGTTGCAGCGATACTCGTCTGACTCGTCCCTAGTGACAGGACTGAGATAGTACTGGAGCTCCGGAGCATCCCAAGGACACCAATGCACCTAAACATTTCGTAAATGAGTTAGGTTGTGATATAGTGTACATCGAACAAAACACATGTATGATAGTAAGGAGAGCGTAACCTGGTGCTATGTCAGGACATCGAGACCGTCCATGTACTCCCTGTACTTGCGCCTCGCATTTCCTCTAACTAACTCTGCTTCCGTCCAGATATACAGAGCTGTAGAGAGTGTATCCTGCCCATTCCATTGCTGCATTGAACACGATAATGAATTAGCCATTAATAAACTCATCATATCAAACCATATCGAAGAATATAATGAACCAAAGTACATACCGGTAAACCAGTATTAAGGGGCCTCCCAACGGGCCATCGTTCCCAACACCAAACCTGGAGTAGGTACGAGCAACCCCCAAGGTTCGCATACCCTGAGGTGCGACGGCAGACAACGCATAGCTGTCGATACGTCCATGCCAGGACTGCGCTGCCCCAGCTGTACGCCGCTATGTTCTCCCATGGCTAGCGTAGTATGTCAAGGAAGATCCAGCTGATGGTGTTGCCCGAGGCGTCTGGGAAGAGGAAAGCACCAAGAAAGTGCCAGAGCCACACTCGAGCGAACCTGTCGATCTGAGCCTCCTAAGCTTGTGGGTCCAAGTAATCAAAGCGCTCTGTGATCCAGGACGACGAAACACTGGAACTTTTCCTGAAATTGACCAAAGAAAATGCGACCCGATGGCTGCAGAAAAGTAATGCAAGTATTAAATAGGCTTGAATTTCTCACTTATTTTTCTTGGAAGCCTCGTCGTCCGGTGGAAGAAAGCCAGTAAACTGAGCCACCAGCTCCCTCCAGTGATCGTTGTCAACTATCCCTGTCACTGGAAGTCCCCCCAACCGAAGGGCAAAAATAGCCTTCACGTCCTGCATGGTCAAGGTCATCTCGCCACAAGGTAGGTGGAACGTGTGGGTCTCAAGCCTCCAGCTGTTATAAGAATAGAACGACTGTTAGTTGCCTCAAATTTGTTACAAGAATGTTTACATACAAATAAGGCACTCGCACCTGTCTACAGCTGCAGTAAGTAGTGCTGGGTCAAGGGGCGGAAGACCGTAGTTGACAACACGGACAAGCTCGAGGAAGCCGGCACGCCGTATATACGGCGCGTAACGCTCGTCCCACTAGTGCGCCCTGGTGTGCGTGCGGGGCCTCAAAGGAGGCAATGCCACCTCTGCGTCGTTGTCACTCAAGATGTGTGCTCGGTGCTGGTCGTTGTACTCCACCTCAAGAATGAGGTACAACGAGTGCTGCGTGGGAGGGACCATCCTATTATAAATTGATAAACAAAGGGTTAGAGTATTTAAATTAACAAAATTCAAATTAACATTATGTAGCATTGCAAAATTTAAACTACTTGTTATGCAATACGAACACAATATGAAAGCACATGTATATATTCAAAGTAACATTAGCAGACATATTAAACAACTTCACTAGGAATATAAGCATTTGATGAAACTTCATCAAGTCATCAAAATCGACGTATCACGCACTAGTAAGTACCGACATTTGAAAACTAGTATCTATACCCAAAATCCCTAACTATAAACTAAATAATAAATACCTAATCAATCCCTAAACCCAAAATCCTAACTATACTACAACACACAACCTCAAACCTAAAAACTACCTACCTAAATTACAAACAAATTCACTAACCTAACTATCCTAAATCACTAACTATCATAAATCAATAACAATCATAAAACCCTAACTATCCTAAATCACTAATTATCCTAAATCAATAATAATCAAAATAGCATGAAATCGAGAGGGAGGTACCTTGGTAGGAGCGGGCGGCCTTGACGCGCCGGCGTTCGTGGCGCGGGCGCTGCACGGCGGGAGTGGGCGGCAGGCCCTGCCACGTCATGCGCCGTGGCGCGGCAGGCCCTGCCACGTCAACCGTCAGCCTTTCCGGTCGTCGCCACGTCAGCCCCCTGCCGCGCCACCATGCATGACGCGGCACAGGCTTTTGGCCGCGCCATGGCAATAGGCGCGGCAAAAAGTGTTAGTTTTAAAAAAACAGACAGTGTTAGATTTAAAATTAGTTTTTAAAAAGTATTAAAATTAAAAAAAATCGCGTGGGGGGAGGGTGCCCGCTACTGTCACCATTAATGGGAGAGGGGAGACGGCTTGCTGCCACCACCACCATTGAGGAGGAAGGGAGGGAATCGCTGCAAAATCCATAGGCGAGGAGGAAGCGCCGCCGGAGGGGAAGGAGAGGAAGTGCTGCCGTTGGGAGAGGAATGGCCACCACGGCCGCCGTCGGAATGGGGCAGGGCGTCGCGGTCGCTGTCGTGATGGGTCAGGGTGCCATGGCCGCCGTCAGGATAGGGAATGGCATATCGGCACTAAGGATGGCAACGGATCGGGTTTGGGGCGGATATCCGCGGGTTTCGGGTTCTGCGGGTTCGGGTTTGGGGATGGTTTTTCACCCACGGTTTTCGGGTTCGGGGCTCCGAAACCAATCGGGTTCGGTTTCGGGTTTGGTTTTCCACCCGTGGATATCCAATGGATATCCGAAATAAATCATTTGGAATTAAAACTCATGTTTTATAATATACTAATAATAATTTGTTTACTTAGATTATTAAATTTATTTAAAGTTGACTCATGAAAATATTTATTATTTGTTGCCTCTTATTTATACATATGAATATGTGTATATATATCCGCGGGTTTCGGGTATCCATTCAGGTTTCGGGTATCCGTTCGGGTTTCGGGTATCCGCGGGTTTGGTTTTGGTGATGGATTTCCACCCGAATCGGTTTTCGGGGCGGATTCGGGTTTCGATTTCGGGTTTCGGTTTTGGGTGCACGGAGACTCCACCCGATCCGAACCCGACCCGTTGCCATCCTTAATCGGCACCACCACGGCGGGCTACGGCCCCTCGGCCTCGGTCATGTGCGGTGAAAAGAACCTTATCCTTACGTCTAGACAATGGAGGCAGCAGGATAAGGTTAGAGACGCTGTTGAGCTGGTGCCGCGGCCGACGAACACGACCGTCAGGACGATCGGACGCCCTCACCTGAGAATTTCCGTTATTTCATGCAGCTAATCGGACGCCCTGACCTGACCTGACGATCGGACGCCCTGACATGTATAAAAGAAATTATTGGTCTACATAACTATGTGGCATAGATAACGTCAACACAGCTAATCTACATGCAGCGAAATATATGGTTTATGCTTTGAGACCGATGTAGAACCCCACATTGCTCTGATTTGCATAATGGAGCAAATGATGGAAGACAATGGCTGTTGCTATGTCACAGTACACGAATTAATTTCATCTTTCATCGTCTTCTCATTATGCCCATACATCCTTGGTGCCAATCTACACATGACAATCGTAAGAATATGCTACGATAAGTTCCAAATCCAGCTAGGATACAAACTTGCCTCTCGCCCTATTACAACCATGAATCCATAATCTGAAATCCATGCCAATGATACTCTCAGTTCTGCGATGGGACTGTTACAGATGAATAAATCTAGCACAGGGCAATTACTGAGAAAACACACGTATGTCAGTGAAAATGCGTTTACCAGTGGCAAATCATAAAACTGAGTTTACCAGTGGTAGCTGAGGAACTTCTTGTTAGGAATCTAAGAACCAAAGGCCCAACCCGCACCCCGCCGCCAACCCCAACCCCACTAGACTAAGCATGGCCCCGCATCCTGAATAACACTACCATCAGATAAAATTCACCTTTACACATAGTAGGAACTAACTGTGAAATGGGGAATAGTAACATCATATCAGCAGCTATGAACATGGAGTTTTTGTTCCAACAAAACCAAAACCCATTACAACATATGCAAAGGCCTGGAGGTATAGGTAAAGATAGTATTTGTGGCTTCCAAGTACGAAGTCATATGAAGCACATATTAAGAGGAGGAGTGCAAGCAAGAGCTCAGGAAAGTAAATCCTGCAAAGGCAATGATTGAAAATAAGCACATTAAACAAGTAGCAGTATTCATTCTTTATTCCTTCAACACTGAAAAAGTGAATTGATATGCTATGTAAGCCTCTTCAGTTACCTCTCAACGCATTCTGTGGGCTTCACTGGTTCAAGGAGTGGAACATCCAGGTCATCCTTCACAAGATCTCCTACCTTCTCAGTGACTACCCAATCATTTGCATGTGCAGTCTCAAGTAAACCGGTTACAGCAGCACGCATGCGGTGCATGGACATAACATTCTCGAACAGAATCCAGAAGGGCATCAGATGGAGAGACCTGATATATCACACAATATAATCTGAAGATGGCCACATTGACAGATGACAGGAGATGGAAGGTTGTGCATTGTTGTATTATGCATACCCAGGATTTCTGATGGCGTTCATACATGTAATTGCAGTGGGAATATAGACCAGCCCCCATACAGGAATGCTGACACCAGGAACCATGGCAGACAAAGGGATGACAACACAATAAAACAAGAATGTCACAAGGGGAGCAATAACCCTTCGGACAAAGAAAAAGCTGTATAGCAGATGATGTTTCTTCCATATTGACACCTCCTGCATCATGTGCAGATGGCAATTACAACATGACAAACTCATGTTAATTCCTTGTGAGGTGAGGACCAAGAAGACAAACCTTGTTTGTAATGATTTCCCAAGCCATTTTCCTGAAGAGATTGGCGGCACCACAAGTCCACCTATGTTGTTGATGACGGTAGGCTTTGAAGGTACTTGGTAGTTCACTCTTAACCTGTATAAGATTTGCAATAATTGTAATGCTGACATGGTACAGTATATATAGCTTCATCAAAAAGCAACTGTTCGAAGTTCACAGAGAATCAGTGGAATACCCTAATATCACCAACAAACAAGAATTCCCATCCCTTGAGGCTTGCCCGTACAGCCAGGTCCATATCTTCTACAGTGGTGCGATCTTTCCATCCTCCAGACTGATTAATAGCAGATACACGCCACACACCAGCTGTACCTGTAAACAGATTATAGTTATTGCTTTTCACATGACATAGCTTATCCCACATTCCCACCCCATCCTGTGACAACTGACAAGAAACTTATCAGGGAAAAATCAGAACCTCAGTGTATGGCTACGAACCAGCACTTACCATTAAAGCCAAAAAATGAATACACAAATGATCCTGATTCCTGCTCAACTTTGAAATGATAGTCCAGAGACATCTTCTGTATCCTTGTCATCAGGCAAACATCATAGTTCACTGCAAAATCACCCGGCAAAGGCCAGGTCAGGAACATCCTGTAATCATAATGAACAAAATTTGTCGCTTACTTTATCAATATGACCACTGCCATAGCAAATGCAAAGAAATTGCATCAGAACATCAGTAGTAATCAGAACCTTTTTTACAGCTTAAAATTGTCAGCTGACATATTACTGTGTCATGTCACTCGAAATTTTGCTATCAAGAGCCTAAACTGAAGAGCATACAAAAAGGCTTCCCCAAAAGGATCATTAATGAAACAGAATCCTGTCGTCCTCACTATCAAAAAGGCTTTAATGCTGAATATCATTTATCCAATGTAAGGTGGAAATATTCCAAATGCCAATCAGGTATGCGCATCCAAGTTAGCACATGAGTTCTTGGGTGATGTCTTTAGTTAATTAAAAGGAGGAAATACCATGTCTCTTACAAGGATGAATTGGCTAACCCTGAGAATTAAGAAATAAGCTCTGTAATGAAACAATTAAAATAAACAAAAGAATTTAAATTAACCAAACCAACATAATCTCTAATGAATAAAGAGAACTACACATGAATAAAACTTGTTGTGGACAACAGCATGTGTCAGAACCACACACATAACATTTTGTTTTAATTTTTCTACATATTGTTCACAGATAAAGGTAGGAACTCCAAAAACAGAGTATTCCAAAATATATGCATGACTACAAAATGATATATTTATGCTTACCAAACTCCCAACGTGTTTGTACAAGTGCAATCTTTGGGTTATGCACAAGAAACGGTATGGTTTTTAAAAGGAAGTCAGGTTCAGGTTGGAAATCCGCATCAAAGATAGCAACGAAGTCACATTGCTTGGCGTATATATGTTCCATGCCCTTCTTCAGCGCACCTGCTTTGTATCCCTTTCTGTTATCTCTAACCTCATACTTGATGTTAACTTTTTTGGTGGCCCAATCCTGGCACTCAAGCTCCACTAGTTCCTGCATTCAAGGAAAATGGTTTTAAAATATTACAGTGGCATGACTTTCTATATACAACCATGAAATGGAAGCTCTTGAGTCTGGATGCATTTAGCATGTGGGGCCATTGAACTGAAGACATGCATACTAAATGCCCTTTCTGTAGAAAAAAAGAACAACCTTAGCTAACCTTATACTAGACACTTAAAATATCTTGTAACTTGCATTATACCAGGCTGCTAGCCAACACAAATATCTTTAATAATATCTTACACAATGGCAGTGCAGTAATCAAGTGATCTAGTGTCACCTACAGTCAGATGTAGTTGACGTTTCAGACAACTAAATTAACTTAGACTTTATTACTTTTTGTTTGTCCAAACGCCAATTAATACTGACTGGAGTGAGGCACATACAGAAGCTTTGTTAATCCCTTTTCTCTTAATATTCCAGTATATTGATCCAAAGCATTTCTAAATTTTAAATATTTTGAAGCATCAATATTTCCAAATTCGCTAAGGGACTAAATGATCTTATTCATAACAACAATAGACCAACGCAATGTTGCTGGAGCGAACCTAGCAAATTATTATCAACATTCATATGCCCCATTTGATAATGAGAAACTGATCATTCCTTTACAATTTCAAGTCACAATTAACGTTTAAAAATACATCACATCAACCACAATTTGACCCAAAAACATATGAATATTTCTACTTTTAGGCAATCAAGATAAACTATGTCCCTGAAACCAAGGCCTACCTTAATAATCGGATCAGTGGAATCATCCAAGACTTGTATTACAATACGGTCTGGTGGCCATGTGAGGGCACACGCCGCAGCAATGGATAGCTTGTACACCTGTACAAAGAAATGGTCATTGCAATGATGCGGTGTCAAATTTTATAACATTGCAAGACACACAAGAACATTGTTCAGACATCTTGGAAAAACTATGGTCTTTTAGCGTTGTTAGTCAATTGCCCAGCAATGTAAAGGAAGGAGGACTAAACTTGCTTACTGCTTGCATTAGGCACAGCGTCTGCAAAGCAAGAAAAAACGAGACGGTCCCCATCCATCTTAATCGTCACTGGTTTCCTTTACTCAACACTAGGATAGCACAAGCCGACACTGCATTGTGCCCCACTTGTCCTCATTAATAGGATTCTTTTTTTTTCCTTTAGGTTCCCATGGTATTTTTTAGATTTTCTTCCATAACTGAACCACAATGCCGTCACTTGTAGCGAAAAAAAAAACCATAATTATGTCCTAGTACTAGTATCATGATTGCACTAACAAAAGGCAGCTTGCGCGTAAACAGTGGAGCCCATTTCTGATCCTAGCTCCACCTTGCGACTTGAGAGTTGAGAAGTACAGTACAAACACAACGAGACACTTGTTGCTTTGAATCCATAATAAACTCCCCATCTCATTCAGAAACAAGAGAAAGGACCCCTAAGAAGTAAGAACCCTTATCAGACACAGCGCGCCCAGAAATGTCGTCGATAAAATGCCCACAAATTATCAAGCATGATGATGCATTTAAGGTATTGCGGCCCTACTACGGTCCACGTCTAAAACCTCGTAAACTCATAACGCCGCATCCTACCTACGGTTGTACTACAATCTCGCGATCGCGACGTGTAACAGGGAGGGAATGGGCCAGCTGCAATTAATCGGGGCACACACATATAGCAAGCTGTGCCCAAAAGAAAAGTAGAGCACGCCTCACCTCCCTCTCGTTGTACATGGGGATCTGCACGAGCACCATGGAGAAGTCCGCCCCAGTGGCCGCCACCTCGACGTCGACGCGGCCCCCGGCCCCGGGCATGGGCATGGGCTCCCAGCGGTACCTCGTGTCGGTGCGGCGCCAGCGCCACAGCATCGCGGTGGCGGCGGCGGCGGCGGCGGCGAGGCTGGCGAGGCCCATGTACGCGGCCTCGGCGACGAGCATCGCCGACGCGGCGAGGCACGCCCACACCCCCGCCCGCAGCGCCCACGCAGCGGCCGTGAGCGCCGGAACCGCCCAGGCCGCCGGCGCCATCTGGATTGGATGGGGGTGCCTTGCTTGAGCGGACGGAACGGAAGAGCCGAGAGCGGGGGCAGGAGTGGGTGTGTCCGCGTGCAGCCGCTCTGCCTTTTTTGACAGGGCCGGGATGGGGTGGTGGTAGCTGGGGTGTGTGGTGGTGGATGGCGGTGCTGCGACTGCGAGCGAGGAAGAGAAGCGAGCACATTTTGGATTGGGGATGTGGGGAAAGTTGCCAGGACGGACGTCCCGCTGATTGGATGGCTTCCTTGTTTTTTTGAATGAGACGCTGGACCTCGAGATAACTGTAGACACAGACAACTGATGGTCACGTCATATGACAGGCAAGGAAAGTGGGTCACGTCGTTGTTGCAAAAGCCAATAATACTCCATGCTATTAGTGCTACTAAACACATACTCCCTCCGTCCCATTGAGTTTGTCGCTCGGGAATCGGAATTGTGAGGGGGGCACGGTTTTCCAACGACAAACTCAATGGGACGGAGGGAGTACTCCGCATGGAATACACCGATCAACATGTTTTTATAGGATTACAACATCAAACACGCATCCTTCTCGGCCACCAAAAATCAAGGTCAAGCATTTAGGACCGAAAGCAATACACTACTAAGGCTCTGTTTGGTATGATTCTGCCGGCAGCTTATATGCAAGACCTATACCAAACAATTAGAGAAGATGAGATGTTTTCTATCAATCCATCCCAAATTATAAGACATTTTGGCTTTTCTAAAAATATAGTTTTTTACTATGCACATAGATATACGCTATGTCTAGATATATACCAAAAGCAATCTATCTAGAAAAAAACAAAACGTCTTATCATTTGGAACGGAGAGAGTAGTGGATAGTAGAGAAGTCCGAGCTGCAAAAAGCAACTCCTTTTTGAATGCTCCATAGAGAAATCGTGCCAAACAGACAAAAAAAAATGTATGTCGTACAAAAAAAATTATGTACAATTTAGTAAAACTATTTGTGTAGACAATTATCAGGCTGGAATAGCTGCTAGTTTTTCTAGCGGCAGCGGCTGCACTTTGTCACCGGTGATCACTGTAGCTGTCTCACAGGTGTAATGTTGCACGTTACTGTAGAAGAAAGGGCAGCCGAAGATGTATTATAAATTTTGCAACATAATTCGACATACATGCATCAAATAATATATGATAATGCAGGAATTGTTATGGTAATTTGGTAATAGTGTTGAATCTAAAACTTTTACAATAGGTTTCTAGCAATATTAGGTACTCATTGTAATTTTTGTGGTTCCAGAATAATTAGTTTGCTAGGTAGCTAATGATGCTCTATTTCAAATAAGGATTAAATCGATAGAATGGAATAAAGAAACACCTTGGGATTTGTATAACTAAAACATTGGTTGGGAAGTAACGTCTTATTCGACAACATGGATACGTAGACCAGCGTTAAAGCTATCTCGTTAGCTTGTGAGGTGTGATCGTGTTTCTAAGCATTTCGGCTGTCGTTGATTATTTATATCTATGCATTTGCATCAATGCATATCATATAGGTACGATGATGGATCAACGGATCAATTGAAGGATGATTGGGAATCCAAAGATGGTGTAATGGTATTCTCTCCAGGAGATGATGCAATGGGCTTTCTATTCAGATAATGGTGAATAATCTGAAGATGCAGATACTAACTTTTGGTTATATTTTACCCAGGCAAGCCCCGGTGCATAACCCCTACTTTTCTACAGTTTAAATTATATTTGTGCATTAAGTTTAAGGAGTTGAATGAAACTCACTTGCATATATATATATATATATATATATATATATATATATATATATATATATATATATATATATATATCCTATGAGTCTTACTAGTATGATAGGATCAAGTAGATTGCTATGCTATAGGACTCCGGTAGAAGCCGAGTGATTGTCTGTGATGTAACAGAACCGACCAATTATACGAGATTAAGTAAGAAAATCTTCCGCCGAAGCAGATAATTTAGCAAACTTAAGCCCGTATAACCCGGTAGTCCATGAAACCACGAAGGATTTCAAACCAATTGACATACAAATCAAGATCGTACAAGTTTAGCAAGTACCATCACACGTTACATAAAGTTCACAATGACAGTTGATACATCAGAGTTTAGAACATAAAGTTATTACATACCAAGTTCAAACTGAAATAGTGGAAGCAAATAGTTTTAAAGCCACACACACACTTTTGATTCAGATACAGTGCCAGTAGGTAGTCATTTCCAACAAAAGCATCAGATGAGAAATACGGAGTGACCAATTGCCCTTGGTCCTAGTTGTCACCCATCGTCGGGTACAGGCAGTTAATGCAATAGCCGTAGTACATTTGACCATCTGCAACAACAATGGGAAACAACGCCCTGAGTATGAGAAGGTATTCAGCTAGACTTACCCGTCTTAAACCAAAATAAAACGACACCAAGGATTATGCAAGGCTTTCTTTAGTGGGCTAGCTGACTCTTTTGCGAAAGCATAAGTTATCATGAATAAACCATTTTAAGTACTTTGCATCATCTTTATTATAACCTATCCATCTAGGTAAGCACATGTACTATAGCAATCACATGATTAACCAATAACATCTAGTTACCAATTTAGCTTTAGCATAACTCACATCATCCAGATAACCATCATTGTTCCATAATAATTACTACGATACCGTAGCTCGAGTCAAGTGCTCACTATCCAGGAGCGATGGCGATTCGAATCGATTCCTAACCAGCTGGTGATTTATTCCTCACACAAACCATGCTTCCCCTGCCAGGGTAGCTTCGATCACAAATGACACTTTTCAGGTAGCCGCGGGATAATCTGGAGCCGCAGTTCCTAGGGACCGCCCGTCTGCCAGGAATCAGGTCACACCTGCCCTTGGGCTCACTCTTCGCGCCCCTGTCATACCCCCATCAGCACCAATACGCGCACTCGTGTAGATCCCGGCCCGAATAGTGCCACTAGCTTCGCGGTCGAAAGGTACTTTATTCGGCCAGCTAAATGTGAGGCATGCATTCAACATGACAAGAGGGACGAGCAACGATCGGTCCTTAATCGACACAGACGGAAACTAACAGCACCCCAAAACCCTGTCTAGTTGCCTCCAACTATTCCGTCCGGTCCCTAATTTTCCATCACATATGGTTAATTCCAGGATATCATTCTTTCCATAGCCAATCTCTTCCAGTAACCACCTATAATGTAGGTGACCGGGTATCACCGATCGCTACCGGTCTAAGCAAGGCTTAGCAGTTATTCGATCCTGACCTAACAGGGTAAAAGGTAATAAGGTAGGCAAGGATAGTAATAAATGCATCAACGGTTTCAATCAACTCCTACAACTTAATGCAACAATATATAAACTCATATATATAGAAAGAATTTCTTTTATAAAGTAGGAGACTTAGAATGCTCCAGGGCTTGCCTCGTTTGAACGAACTAGGCTGGTGATCCACGCACTCCGGCAAGTCCTCTCCTTGCTCCTCGTCCTCTGGCACCTCCTGTGCCTAGACTTCTTGTGGATTTGTCCCAGTCTGCTCTTCCTGAACTGCTACTAGCAACTCCTCCTGCGATCCTGTATGATGCAGATGTATAAGTGCTAATGCATAGGTGCATCGGAGAGATGACATGTAATGATCATGATGCATGAAATGTAGATGACCATGTTTAACTTCATTGGACATAGTAGTAGCAAAGCTCTTCTACAAGGTAGTCAACATCATCCAAGAACATGTACTACTATCTACTACGACAGCCACTGTACTAACATGCCAAATCACCACATCAAACTAAGATGCTACAAAGATACACCGAAGAGAACATTATTAACTAAACTCGCATTAAAGAAGATCATTTGATTTCATTTTAAACTAGGGCTACACAGCAACATATATTTTTGGTGTTCATAAAAATCTGAGAAAATTACAGTAGCATAGTACTACTCTAAGTAGACTACCATAAAATTTTCATGGCATTAGGATAAGTAGAATAGCCTACACAAAAATGACAAGGCATAATTGCTTAAAAAGGCATAAATAGAAAACCTTAGTTAAAAGTGCCAAGCAATAGATTTCATATTTTTCCTAACATCCTTAAGGTACTGGGATACTCCCCACAAATTTTCATGGTCATAGGATTCCTAGATAATTTACAAAAATTTACACAAGTATCAATCAATGATAAAAGGAAAATCTATAACTCAAAAACCACACATGCAACGACTCTCAAATTTTTACCAGAGCTTCTACTAAGCAAGAATAGCTTACCCACAAAATTTCATAATTTTTGGACAACAGAAACTCTAGATTCAAAAACACATTTCAAATTTCCATTTAAATCTTCCAAAATTTCTGCTGTAAGTATCAAGACTATATTTTTCCTAAATACTAGACTTCATAAGGAACACTACCAAATTTATTTTACAATTTTTGAAACTACAAAACTGGAGATACAGTTATTACAAAACAGCATAGAAATCTGTTAATTTAAACTAGCCTATCACTAAACTGTCACTGACGCGTGGGACCCGCTTGTCAGTCGGACACGCCTGTCATTGACACAGAACAGGGGAGACGGCACGCGACGGCGCGACGATGGTCGAGCTCGTCGATGGTGGCTCCTCTGGCGAAATCGACAGCACCTACACGATCTACGTGATGAGCCGCGTCGAATGGTGCTACCGGCGAGACCTAAGACCTAGCGGAGGGGGCTCGTCGCCGGTGATGGCGGCACGGCAGTGCTCCGGCGCGAGACGCCGGCGATAGCAAGCTATGACTGACTCAACTGAGCTCGGCATGAGCTACCGGGGGTCGCTACGGTGCTACCCAGGCAAAGAGAGGAGGACAAGGGAGTTTCCAGCTACCCCGACCACGGCGGCCTCAACTCTGGCGAGGACACGCCCATGGCGGCGGTGGCGGGAATGGACAAAGCGTCCTTACCAAAGCTCAAACGGCTCAGCGGCGAGGTGGACGCGCGGAAGGGGACTACGGTGGCGCTG